TCCAAAAACTATGTTTATCTCGTATGCCACAGCTCGAAAAGAACCAAGTTTATTATAGAACTTCAAATTGTTCAAAAGCTGTTAAATCTCTTTACTTCACTTTCCCGCCTTTGGTTACGTTCTCAACTCGCAAGTAGAATTTTGCACCATCCTTTCATCGAAGGTTGGGAATCTCGCTCAGTACCACATTGAGATAGCCATGCTGATTACGTCTGCTTTTTCGTTGAACATCAATACTTTGCCCTTAAAGCTTTCGAGTTTTCAACAGCGCCTATCTTGTATCTCACGTTTGATACGAAAGAGATTTGTTTTCAAAATCTCTCCAGTAGTGGCCAGTAGTTCTAGCACTAGTAGAAGGCAAAGTCAGGCAATACCTTTCTTGAAGGCTCCTCCTTCCTTGGATGGTACTATGGTTGGGGACGTTGGGTAGGCATTCTTACACACTGTGTTATCCAACTTTATGACAGTTTTGCAAAGCTTTGATCCATTAGGATTTTCAACTATCATTGATCTTCGATATCTTCGAGAGTCAGAGCTGAAGCACTGCAGGATAGCCATGCTAGCTGTTGTAGGCTTCATTGTTCAAGGTGAAGAACTAGTTTTATTGCTGCGTCTCTATTTCTCTAAGACCAAATGTAGAATTTATTCATTTACCCGGAGATTTGTTTTCTAATCCTCATCCAATGCAAGCGATAGGACAAGTTCCTATCTCAGGATGGATACAAATATTTCTTCTCGTTGCTATTTTAGAGATGATAGACATAGCTGCCATAAAGGAAACTCTTCAAGGGAATAGAGAGCCAGGCTATTTCGGCTTCGACCCTTTGGGACTTGCGAAGGACAAACAGGCTCATGACAGATATCTTTTATCGGAACTGAAAAACGGAAGGCTTGCCATGATAGCAAGCATCGCATTCATGATTCAGAGCTCTCTATCCAGTGAAGGGATAATTGCACAACTAACACATCTCAAACTACCATTTTAAGGGTATGTGTAAACGGGTTTCAAGTAAATTGGGTTTGTTCACGAAATCCCTTTTTATTGTTAGAGAAACTTCCCAAAACAATTTCGAAACTCAAAACAAATTCAAGCTCTGGAGTTGTTCCACCACACTTTTACCAGTCACTAGTTCCTGCACAATAAACCCAATAACAGCAATCATTGCCAAACGGCCGTTTCGTATCTCCGACTCTTGATATCTGCAAAACGTTAAAACTGGTTCAAAAGTAGTAATAAAGTTTTCGTTACCTCCTGCGTAATTGTGGAGATTTTGCAAGACCAAGGGGATCAAATCCAAAGTCACCAGGTTCACGATCAAAGGAAAACGTAGTACGAAATGTCGCAATTTCAACTAGACTGATAAACAGAATAATTTGTATCCATCCCTCTATTGGCACCTTGTGAATAGCCGCCAAGGCATGTTTCTCGTTGAAAACATCTCCCGGAAGATGAAAAAATTCTTGTGTTATATAGCCTAGAGCAGCAAGCATAGCCACACGACAGTGTTTTATTTCCTTTGTAGGTTAAGTAGAAGATCGACAATACCCTAGAGTTACCTACAGAAGCTCGAAGATAATCAAGATTCATGTTGTCAGAAATATAAAGTGGATCAAAGCTAACAATCCATATTAATTCAAAGCACAACCAGAACGATGCTTACCCTGCATCTCCAGGAATCTTTCCATCGAGCTTTTTAGGTGCTTCGAGAAAAGGAAGCGCTCTGGACTTCACAGTCATATGGAGTGAGAAGATACTCTTATTCACGGACACATGCTGCAACTTGGTCAAATGAGTGAAACTCTTTCTCGATACGAAAAATTTACATAGGCTAGCAAAGGCAAACATTGTGTACAAGATTGTAAACTGAGATAATCTTCACCAGATTTATCTTACTTTGGGTCAATTTGTGGCTTTCGGCTGCAGAGATTTATTTCTGACAGTACATTGTTCTCTGCTTTTATCCAAATGAACTCTGAGCTGAGATCAACCACTTTATCTGCTTTCAATATCCTTGTTTTATCGATTTTCCTATCAAACGCTTGCTATTGAAACATCTTTTCAAAATCCGTCATATTGTCTACTATTTCCACTAAAGTTTCAACAAGTCTTGTCAATACGAGGAATTTTAAGAATTTGCAAAAGTTAAGTAAAAAGAGGAAGAGAACTATTGTGCGTATCCCTAAGTTTTGTTCCAAGGTTGTTTCATTTTACGTAGCAGCAAGGTAGCAACTTGAACAATTTGTTATTTCTTGAATGTTCTGGCCTTCAACTTTGTAAGAATAGCTTTCTCAAGAAAGTGGACGAGCCTTTAACGTTTCATTGTTTCTAATCTGCCCAATGGCTATAAAGTTCTTTGCAAACTAAAATAATACTCAAAGAGTCATAGAAAGAGAAATGGTACAGGTTCCTCAAGAAAGGAAACCATGGTTACCTCAAAAACATTCAGTTCAAAGCAAGGCGCGATAAATTCTCATTCGAAATGAAAAGAACCATACTAATTTATCCAGATTTGTTTTATTTGTTATTCTACATAAATATTTCTCGTTATCAAAGGTCACTAGAACATCAAGCAGAATCATCCACAATCTTCTCGAAATTTCGAAAATGACAATTTAAGGATCGCACTTGCTCAATAATCGAATCTGAGGAACCAATAGAAAAATGAGTTCGTTACTTCCATTTGTAGATTTTCTCGACCCTTGGGATGTCTTTGAGCGTGCCAGTTGGTCACTGGACAGTGACACTGAAAGACCAGAACAGACGGAAGGAAAGAATGAGTCCAACCGTAAACGTGGGGGAAGAAAAGGATGGGTGCCAAGAGTAGAAGTAACCGAGGATGAGCAAGGAAATCTGAATTTAGACGCCGAAGTGCCTGGGGTAAATTCAGAAAACCTGCAACTGGATGTTCGAGAGGGCTCGCTGGTTATTTCTGGTGTTAAACGACGTCAAACTGAGGTTACTCAAAACCAAGTTGAGAATGACAAAGACGAAGTGAAAAGGCCACCGGCAAAGAAATCAAAGAAGGACCACCCTTATGTGTACTCAGAGAGACAATATGGCAAATTCCGAAGAGTCGTAAAACTTCCTAAAGAAGTGGATGTATCCAAAATAACAGCTTCATGTAAGGACGGTGTTCTTCATGTTTTTATACCTGTACAAGAAGAAGCATCGAAAATAAGTGTACCTATCGAGTTCTCCTGACTTTTCATAAATAAATGCTTGCGTTCTCAGAGACTTCAAAAGTTCAATATGTATTCATCTTCGGGAACTTTCTGACACCACGATTCTAAACACCGAAATGCCAATTGCCTGCATAAGCTATCTGAATCCTTACGGGAAGTCTCTATCCAATGATCAACGAGACTGCGGAAAAATGTCGTGCGATATCGTTGTTCTATTTCCTTTGCTTCTCTAGTGTTGGAAATTTGAAGTGAAATCACAAGAGCAATTAGCACAGACCGACGGATATTGCAGTTTGAATGCTGTAGATGAATAAATGCTGAAATATTAATGGTCAAAACTTGGAAACAGACAGAGCTTAGCAATACTTACCTATTTGGGTGAGGGCTTGTAACATTTCTCCATAGGAAGGGCAGGATTTGCCAGCACAGAAAATGAAAACTGAGAGAGTCGAGATAGACTGTGCCAGAAGAACTTCACGACTTTCAGGAAACATTGCCTTTTTTTGAGTGAGCTTGGAAACTTCAGTCCATATCGAAAAGAACGCCTCCAAAGAGATAGGTGAAAACCTACATCGCTTTAGAGACTTAAAAGTTTTTCAAGAACACATACCTATTCTTAATCATACGAGAATTTTGGAGTTTCAATTTACGCAACGAAAAATGAAGACTTTTCAAGACTGTTCCTGTGAAACGTTCTTCATTTTCAGTATCGTGATCAATCTGTTCTGTAGAATTTTCTCTTGTCCTATTGTCTCCTGTGAAAAGCTCGCGATTACCAGACAATTGCTCCGAGGCATTCACCAAAAGATTTAATGCATTGCATTTATCTTGCAAGTGTGCGTTGTCTGACTGAAAAACATTTGAAATCAGACTTCTAAAGAAGATCAATGGAGAAAACTCTGCCAATTGAAGTAATGTGCTCTGACGAAGTTCAGCCAAAAGGGTTGCTTCCTTGCAAGGATCAACTGCATTCGGATCCAAAAGAAACACAGCCATAACTAATTCTGATATAGCACCTTCTGCGGCACGTGAACGGCTATTTACCATTGACTGTAATTGCTTTAATCCATTGATAAATAAGGATAGGCTCCACGACTCTTCAGTTTCTTGCTTCCGGAATTTCCGAAAAAGAATTAGTAACTCACTCACTGTTGAAGGTGCTACTTCTTTTCTTCTACAATGGTCAGTTTCCTCGTCATCTGATTCTATTTCGCTTTCTTCATCACTATCACTAACTTGGTAAGGTTCTAAAAACTCGGAACCATTATTCCCCTTGGCATCATTTACATTAAGTTTCGAAAACTTCCTTTCTATCTCATCTTGTACCGAAAGGCTTGGTATCTTACGAGCAATCGAACTCAAATCAGCAGAAGTTGAGGTATCTGACTCTAAAGAATCAGGTGTAACTTTAAAAGTCTTGTTCCGGGAAGATTGCAAACAAGTTACACTTTCGAGGTTCTGCGAAGGCTTAAAATCCTCGATCTGTTCAGTGAGTATAGGACTGTCCACATTAAACATACGTCCAAGTTGCTTTCCAACTGTCCATCCCATATACCTAACATCTGCCTCCGTATTTCCAAGCCGAAACTGAATGCCACCGGTAATTGCGTGAAGTATTTTAGCAGAATGAAGGTAGTCCAAATCTACTTCTTTAAGGTAACATAGTAAGATTCTAGTGATTTGAAATTGATAAGGGATACTCTGAGATGAAACCAGTTGGGTTGATGACCAAAGCGATACGAACTGATCTAAAATGTGCAGACGTTCAGATTCATCACAAATATGCAAAAATATCTCGGACAATATGGAAATTCCGGAAATGCTTATTAGTTGCCTTCTGGGAACAAAGAGCAACAAACTTTTCCTAGCAAAACTATTTCTCTTTGAAATATCAACGAGACAAAACTCAACAAGCGAGAGACATCCTTCATCAGACTCTATAACAGCCATTAAGTCTGACAGCATTTTCTCCATGAATGCTGGAGACACACTGGCAAGCCAATATGTCAACTGTGTAGGACAAGCAGTACTTTTCCTGTCATAGAATGAAAAACAGCAATGAAAGAAATGTTTAAACTGTCCAATAGCACAAATGCGAGTTATTAAGGTAGAAATTAACTTGTCTTCATCTGTTGCCAAAGAGTCAATCGCTTTCGGCGAATGAAGAACTTGCATATCTAAAATAGCCTCAAAAAGATTTTCATAATACTCATCAGATTCGAAGCTAATATTTTCCCTTTTGACATAGTTGAAAATTCTGTCAGGAAGCGACACCAGGAGACTTATATCGTGTGCTGTCCAAAGTTTCAAGGAACACAAGTTGTCTAGCAAATGAACTAGTCCAGCTTTCGAAAAAACTCTTCTTATGCACTTCACGAACAATGAAATAGAAACCTTCCTTTGTTTGAGCGATTCCAAAAAAACCTCCAGTAAAAGCAAGGGCGGCCCACAGCCAATAAACGATTCTAATACGATAAAGGAGTCAGGACGGCCAAAAATCTCGTCTAGTCTTTGTGTTGCACTAGACAAAAATATAGTCTTCAGGGACGTTTCATATAATTTGCCTAGTTGAGTTGACAGCTTTCCACGAAAACTCGAGAAAAGATGAGACAGCTCCTCAACTGCCGCTATCACGTTTTCGTCCGAAATAGGATCCCTTTCAGTCTTCAAATTTCTCTTTAGTAAGTAAAGATTATATGTCCCCCTTTCAGTTATGCTTTCATTAGTCTTGTGGTTTGCCAATCCTTCCAGATACATAAGCTGCAACTAAACGGAAATTCTCCGAAAAATTCAATCCATAAGAATTGTTTATTAAAGAGATTGTTGTACTCATTGACTTGGTAGTTGGCAAAGTATATATACGAATTCACCACATTTCATTTGTTTGGAATCTCGGTACTGATAAGAAAACAATTTGTCGTTCACTACAAGAGACCACAAACGATAAGTACGACTGGGAGTATCCCTTCACCACATTTGTTTTATCGCAATGATTATAGACATAAATAATGTGCAATTGCTTGGAATATTACAGTATCCTTGTTGTCTTAAGCAAGCTATTTGGAAGATCTCTTTTGAATGCAAAATACTTACACTTTTCTTCTGCGCCAACCCAACAAGTCTCCAAAATCAAACGTTGAAAAAGATATATACACAAGCGAACAAGCAACTAAAGAAAATCTTCTTCAAAATCGAGCTTTTGCTAACAGAAAAGCTCTAACAGAAAAGAGCGAGCTAGAAAGCACTAAAGATTCAAACGAACCGAATGTGACTAGTTTGATGACGCTATAATAAAAAGAACTTCTCGGAAATAAATTACTTCTCAATCTTACAGTCGACTCTTCTTTTCGGTATTTTCAAAGATGGAGTTACCCAGTTTCCACCTAACAACTTTATGAAAATAAGTCTGTAATCTTTGTAAAGACTCACTTACACGAGCACTTTTCACCAAACCAAGTATAACTTCCTATTCTACACTTACACTTGGGACAACTCAATTTTCCTTCATCGTTCGAAAGATCTTGAGACCAAGGTACTTGTTGAAGAAACAACGCACTACAACTAGGATTCTCCGCGCTCCCTTTTTCTTCTATTTGTCCCTCTACCAGTCTGGTCTGCGCCTTGTATTCTTTGTGCTCGATCAGGTCTACGTCACGAAAGAGGACAAAGCTACATCGACGACAGGTATATACAGCTTTTCCAATACTTCGTTCTTTTACTTTCTGGAAAGAAGTAGTAGTCGATACAGGCTTGTACCTTTCAGTAAACTTCTCACTTGCACTGCAATGTTTATTTGGCGCTTCCATAAAAGCGAGTTTTTCAAGTTGTTCAGGTGTTATGGCCATGGAAGAACAGAACGACAGCTTGTCTAATCAACGGACGAAACTCCAAATTCTGTTGAAACACTTTATTTCATTCTCCAAAACATTAAAAGTAGGCTATTTGAAAATGTCTTTCATCACTTGTTACCAGCTTATTCGCCGGTTTCACTTTATTCAAACGTCAAGACAAACGCTATTTACAAACAAAAACTGAATTCCATATCAAACGCAGTCCTCAGTTATCATTTATGTCTAACATTTACCAATCACTCCTCCAGCTGCTTCATCGACGCTTCAAACATGAAAGCAAATGGTAAAATTTTAGCCCACTAAAGTTGAGACTACTTTGTCTTACTGCAACAACGACTGGCATAATGACATAAACCTTCTACACAGCTTCTAACGAATAGCTTGCTCTCAATAATAAATTAAACGAAATTAAAGTAGATTAAAGTTCTATAATTTCGTCAGAGTACAATGTTACCCATTCAAACATTTAGTCTTTGTCGCACATTGCTTAAGACAAAGGAGCTTCGTTCTACAGGCATGGAATGCTATTTTTGAATGTTTCGAGCAAGATAGACCAAATTCCCCTGTGGCATAATAGCTGCTTAATATAGCTGGAAAGAAAATATAAAGAGACAGTGAGAAAAGAATGAAACTTTTCATGTCCACTAAAGTTCCTTTGAACGGTTGCAGTTTAAAAGCGAAACAATAAACGTTTCCATTTGAACAAAAAGATATTGAACGCCTCGAAAAATATTTGAGAAACCTGAAAAGTTTGAGACTAGGAACAACTAAAAATCAAATAAACCAAGGCTTTACTGAATAATCAGTAGTTCACAGAAAGGGTCGTTTGCTTTTCGAAGACATAAAAAAATCAACTTGTCTTCATTTTGCGGTAGGAAATGTTTTCTTTGAATGTCTTCTGTCTCGTCTGTTCTGGTGGGTTTTACAGTGACTGAAGGTCGTCTTTGCATTCGCAAAGGTTTTTGTGTTAAAAGTTGGTTCCGTTTACGCGGCTCTCGCTGCTGACCCTCGAAAGTTCTTTGACCCGCCATGTGAGAAAATGGCGGGTTTTACACTCCCTCTTTCTCCCGCTTCAATCAAATATGGATTCCAAATACTCACATCCTCCTTTTCATATGTGCTGAAAAATACTTTTAAAAGGCTCTTCCCACGCTTAAAAAGAACAGCTTTCAACTTGACATGCGAACGTCATCAACTCTCAGAACTTTGTTTTCAAGAGAACTGGAAAGACTCTCTAGAATTGAATACAGTACTTTATTTCGAATGAAGAGCTATGAAGTTTTAAAAACTTTCTGGACGTCAAGGCGCTATTCATGTGAGTTTCTGAATGATGATAATCTTCCGGTTCCTCTGTTTGCAGTCGAATTTTCGAAAACAGTGGGTGGAGGTCAGATAATAGCAACATGTGATGAAGATGGCTATGTGACCTTGATCGATACTTCAAAAAGTTCTTCCTTTGGAACTCATGACAATGGTTGGTGCAGTGCGGATTTTCGAGAAAACATTGCAGAAAATAGGCAAAAACTTGGGAACACTCAAAACAAGTTCTGTACTTCCGATAGACCCATAGTTTCATTTCGAGTGCATGAAAATGCAATTTTCTCTCTATGCTGGTTAGGACTTCAAGACCAGTGGATTGCAACAGGTTCTGGAGACCAGAAAGTGAAGATATTCGATATAAACAAAAATGTAATCATGAATACACTCATTGGCCACTCAGGCTCGATAAAGTCAATTAAAGAAAGGCACATGACAGATGGCAAAGTTCTAGCCAGTGCATCTCGAGACGGTAATGTCATGCTTTGGGATACCAGATGTCAAGGACTGCATAGTCAAGAAACAGGTGACTCGGTTCTACGTCCTGTCCTAATACTAAAAGATATCCATCGAAGAGACATGAATATTCCTGACAAGCGAGAGTATGCGCCCAAAAGACCTCGATATTCTATCCGCCATAGGAAAAATTCAATGAAGCCAAATATCCCTCATGGCGTTACTAGTTTAGAATTTGCACCTTTCAACGACTCATTCTATTTGTATACTTCGGGGGCCGTAGATGGTGCTATAAAACTTTGGGATTTAAGAAGAGCCAGCCTCAAACAAGTTACTGCAGAACCCTTGAGCACGATTTATCCTGGTTGTCAAGAGGGTTTAACTGATCGACCACACGGAATTTCATCGTTGCATATTACTGAAGATGGTAGCAATTTATGCGTCAGTTCAACGGACTCCAACATATACTTATATAAAACTGGGCTTCTTGATAGAGGATCTTTCATGCACTTATGTGGACACACATCTTCTTCGTTCTACATAAAGGCATGTTTCAGCCCTGACGGTCACTTTGTACTAAGTGGTTCTGCTGATTCTTTTGCGTACGTTTGGGACATAAAGCAGTCTAGTTCGAAGTCCATAAAAGCAAATCTTCCATTGCTGAGACTCCCAGCCCACATTAACGAAGTTACAGATGTTGCTTGGTGTAAGACGGATACAACAAAGCTGGCAACTGTAGGTGATGACAGTCAAATGAAACTTTGGCAGACAAGAAAGCAACAAGCAGGAAACGAGAGTGTATATGAAACTCAATATGCACAGGCTGAATCGACTCCAATAGAGAAAGAGCACTCAATGCCTTTCAAGATAAACAGACAAGTCAACAGACAATCACCAACAGTAAGGCTAGACAATCCAAATACTCTCTTGACATATTTCGAAAAGCCAATAACTAGATTTTGTGCTGCGTCACATTAAACGATCAATTTGCGAAAAGGGGAAAATTTGTGAACCAAACGTCGTGATTACGGGGGCATTTGTGCTTATTCACCACAAGTTGTTACCGACCGCTTGGGAGATTTGCTGTTGCAACGTTATACACACACTGTTCGTCTGCGCGATGGTTCTTTTCGAGTTTGAAGAAGATGGCTTAATGTCTGTAGATGACGGGATTTTTGACTTTGTAAGGTTCGAGGATGAGTGGCCTAAAGAGTTTAGCTGGGAAGAAAGCAACCTGTTTCGTACTGGACCGGAAAAAAGTATACAAGGCTTAGAAAACATTTTTGAAAGTTCGGAATCCGACATAAGACACCATCTATTGGGTGCATCGAAGATGGAGTACGAGCAAGGTAGCAACACAACCGTGGAGGATTACTTCTCAAGGAATTTTGAACCGAGAACTTCAACCACCCAAACTCCCGAACTAGTTGCCTCGCCGTCGAATAAGTTGCTGGGGGTTTCGCCCGAAGAATCGTTTAAGTCTTGCTTGAAGACAGACTTTCAAGGTCGAAAACACTATCACGGTTTGTATGCGCTAGATGCAGTGGAGAAAAGTTTTAGTTTGTCTCCACCAGCTGGTTTATGGACACATACCACAAGCCTCAAGTCGTTCGAACAGCAGAACTCTCCTTTCAATGACACTCCTACTTTGAGTTGCCGTCAGTCAACGCAGGAAACTCAGTTTTCGACTCCCTTCAATTCCCGAGAGTTCTCGAATATGAATATTATGCCTTCATCCCCTTTGTCTTCATCTTCAAAGCGGTTTAAGAGTGCATCAAATGAATCAAAGATGTCATTTAATGTTGAAGTTCTCTTTCCAGCAATGGGTTCAACCTTTCATGAAAACGACCAGGAGAGGTCATCCATCGGTTCGAAGGTAGCTTCGTGTACACATTCAGTTCATTCAGATCAATCAAGTTATTCAGGAGGATATCGTAAGTTTCGAGTTCCTGATCCAATTTTGAGTCCTGCGTTGGAGTCCCAAATCAAACGCCGACCACAAAGAAAAAAACAATATTCGCGTGTTTCTCCTGCAAAGTTCTGTCATCTTTGTGCCCGTGCAGCAAGTAAGAATATTAGAATGATAGTTTGTTCTAATATTCAAATTGGTATGTGTCTCAAAGTGACTTGCGAAAAGTGTTTTCAACAAAACAATTGGAATTTTGAAGAAGCCATTGGGAATCCGGACTCATGGATATGTACTCATTGCCGTGGCTCATGTCCTTATCGTGCTCAGTGCTCTATTTATCAACGTACCAATCATCGGAGACGAGTTAGCCGTTTTCTAATGAAAAAGCAAAAGGAACTGAACGAAGACTATAGTACATAGGCAGCATACATAGTTTCTAAAATATTGTTGTTCATATAACATTTATGGGATTTGTTTGGGAGTTTCATTCTATTGCATGTAGTTAGGGCAACGACAGTTCTTTTTGGAATAAAATTCACATTGCTACACATATTCTATCGTCTGGAACATATCTTTGGTTAAGGAACAATCATGATAAAAGAACGCACAGCATTGTCCTGACGGCACAAGTCCTGAGATTGTCTTTGAAAACCAGTATCTATGTAATTAGTAGTTCGACTCGTGTCGAGTTGACTATCACTTGAAACAAGTTCACTTGTTTCCTCATGCTGGGGAAGTGAAGCCACGTATTCAAACGACGCTCTGCAATATGGACATATTGCACGCTTGCAAAGCCATCTGCAAATTTCCTTCGAATGAAAGGTATGATTACAGGGTAACGTTCTGACAAGGGAACCGAGTTCCAGTTCTTCAAGACAAATACAGCATAAAGCTACCTTCATGTTGAAACCTTCGTTGGTGTTCCCGTCCACGGTCTTCTCTTCCGAAGACTGCAATCCGGTAACCTCCGTACGCTGAATGTTTTCTACACCTTCAAAAATATATTCCTTGCAAAGCTGATCAATATCTTTCTGAAATAACCCTTCTTTCTCTGTTGAACTAATGAAATATGTAATAAGTGGAGGAGCGCGGAGTGAATGCGACTGGTTTTGCCCAGTAGTGCCTGCATATCTTGAGGAAACTTCCATCCTTCGCTTCACAATTACAATGACGACTGCAAAAGTCAACGACAGTATAATGGACCCAGCTATAGCTATAGCGGTGACGGTAGAGCTCATGGTCGACTGGTCCAAACAAACAATCCCCCCACACACATAATCAACTCCCCTTTCTCCGATTATATTTTCCATCTTGTGGAACGTTTCCTCGACAATATTCGTTACTACGACAGTAAAGCAAAATTAACCAAAAATACCCAAATAGTTAAGTATCAATGAATAACACGTTTGCAAGGGAAGTTCTGCAATAACTATACATAAACTTGCAGAGTTTTTTAGTGCCTACCATCGATAACAACAGGCATACAAAACTCATTTCCATCATGAGGACTATCACTGAGATCATCAATCAAGCTAGAAATAATGTCGACAGGATGCTCTTCATCTTCTGCATAGTCTGCTTGATCCTTCAAGATACCATCAACAAAGTCAAATTCGTCTTCTCTTTCAAAATATTCTTCATTCTCTTCAAGTTCTGTGAATTCTGGAGCAAAAGCACTCCAGTTTTCGGTATAGTCCTTCGTCCATACATATAGAGATCCAGAGCCTCCACAAGACACTATAGTATTCCTACGAGGATTCCAAGCTAAATCTACGATAGACTCTTTGGGTCCCTCTAGAGTTTTTTCCAATTGTCCATCCTCGATTCTCCACACCAAGATCTTATGTTCAGAGCCTTTGGTGCCACATAAGAGATATTCAGAATGCCCACTAAAGCATGCACAGCTCCATTGGCTTCTACCAACGATATCAGTAAACTGTGCGACAGGACTAACAGTTTCTTTAAAACTCTCAAAAAGTGACTCAAGGTCGAACAAGCGTATATATCTATCCTGAGTTATAACTGCAAACATTTTTCTCCGCCTTTCCATTACAACCTGACGTATGAGACTTTTGCCAGGCAAAGAATAAACTCGGAGAGGTTGAAGACCCTTAAAAGTAAAGGAAAATATAGAACCAGCGTTGTCAAACCGAACAATTTCTTCTCCATCTTTATAAAAAAACAGAAATACTCCAGTGAATTCTTCTACGCAGTACCAACTCTTCCGGATTCTTCTGCAGTTTCTTTGAGTCGTAGCTCTTCTACTTCAGTTTCCTCAAACACTCCAATCTTCACTGCTTCCGGAAGTTCATCAACTAACTTAGTACCCTGTAGACCTTCAATTCTGACTAATAACGGCAGTTGTTGACTCATATCCACAATACAGTACTCTGGATTTTTAGGGTGGAATTCCACGTGGTAAGGACTCGCTCGAGTTTGCAAACATAGCAGCTCCTTTTGATCAGGCAAATACCATAGCCGTACTGTTCGGTCTTTTCCACAACTTAAAACACTAAAACTATTATAAGACCAACAAAGAGACAAAATTCTTTCCTCATGTCCTCGGAGATGGACGATAGGTCCATACGTGTCGAAGTCTACAATAACAACAATACCATATAAACTACCCACTGCCAGTAGATTTCCTGTTCTATTAAATGCCAGACAGTTTCCGTAGCATTCTGAAATCCTTTCAGTCATTACTTCAGGAACAGTCTGGCTTTCAAAAGGATTCAAGAGTAACTTGTTCATCTTTCAAACCACGTTGCGCATCAATGAAGAATGGGCGCATTAAAGTAAGGAAGTGGTAAGACATTTCTAAATCTTTCATGAAAAGATGAACAACATCATTGAAAGGAGAAGACGAGTGTGCGATAAGAAGTGTATCTAAAATGTGTCATGCGCAAGGTGAACTTACGAAAGAGTATTAAAATGACGATTCAGCCAAATTTGGTGAACAGTAAGCTTTACATAGGAACATGTTCATTCCCAAGGCTTCTTTTGAGAGTATCAAATCTGAAGGTAATCTTTACCGTCTCTCTAATCTTTTAATCTTTTAGTCCATGAATCCATACAAAGATTCATCATAGAGTACCCATTGTTGACCAATAATGAGAAATTCTCAAACACTTGCCGTGGGGTTTAATGCTTTTCTTGAGCCCAAGTATATGGTTTTTAGTTATTAACTACACTTCTTCATAGGAATTTATTTATCTATGGAATGTCACTTACAGTGTGCCAAGTTGTTGTCTTGAAATATTCCATTCGTCGTTGCTAAGGAGAGAGTTCGTTCTACACCAAGTCCCTAAATTATTGAACCGGGAAATAATTCAAATTCAAACGTCGATTGTTTGTAATTCCAACAATGGAAAACGAAAGTTTTGAGATTGTTCAAGACTCAAGTTACTTTAGAGACAACTCTTTTCTATCTCCCCCTAACGAAGCACTGCGCATCCAAGAGAATGAAATACAGAAACTTAAAAAGTTAAATTTTAACTTAAAGTTGCGCATTTGTCAGTTAGAAGAAAGACTCGGACTGGAGTTGACAGGGAACGAAGAAGTCAACTTGACAAGACGAGTTTCAGCTTATTCTGACTCCGAAGAAAGGGATTCTCCTTATCCCTCTAGAACAAGCATCTTAAAAGAGCTTGAAGAAGAAATATATCGCAGAGATCTCTTGTTGACAAAGGCAAGAACAGTGATCCTCTCTCTACAAAAGCAGCTTTCCCATGAAGACAAAAGGCACATGAACGATAAAATCAATCAGAGTAGGCAAATTAATGACTCTACTAACAACTACGAAGCAGAATTGAAAAAGATTAGAGAAGAATCAATTGTCCCTCGACTTGTGGTCGTTTCTCAAAGAATTCTTGAAAAACTTCAACCTTACGAGTGGGAATCTTATGAAGTCGATGAATTTCCAAGTTATGCAAATCTTAGTTACGTCCTAAATAACCTCACGTTGATTGAAGAGAAAGTGAAAGCATTTTGCGAAATTAACAGTGATATTAAGGATATACCAAGCTCAATTAATTCTAAACTCGATATTTCTCTTCGAAATTCCTTCAGCCTGAAAGACGAAACTGATAAAGAGAATATTAAAGGTCCTTATTCTGGACATCAGCAGTCTCCATTGGAAAATGTTCTTCAACAGTCATGCAACTCATCCTCCCTCATGGAAGCTGATTCTGCTAAAAAACACCAGTTTCAAACAACTTGGGGCGAATTTTTGGATTCTATTCGTGAACTTGGCGAACTAACTTTTGGATGCGACCAACTCTTGGGCAATACCAAAGAAGTGACATGGCCATCACCAATACCATTAAAAGGTGCTTCTTGTGATCCAGATGAACTACAAAACTGTGTTTATTATGTGCTTACGTTACAACACCATCTGCGGAATATCAAAATGAAACTGAGAACCTATTCAGGAAGGTTCCAAAAAGAAAGTCCTATGTTCCAAGATCAACCGATGACTGTTGTACAGTCGTTGCAAAATTCTTATAGCGCTTTAGCTGACAAGGAAATTCCATTCGATCTGAAATTGTCTGAAGTGTCCTATCCATGCCCAGACAAGTCTTCTGCCTTGACAAAAACTAATATCAACAATCCTGTTTCGAGTGAATTTTTTGCTCAACGAAACATCGAAGGAAAGGAATGCGTACATAATGTATTGAAGAGCTTGACCCAGTTCCAACAGTCAGTGTACTTTGAAAAGCTTCAGAAAATGCTTGCAGAGACGGTATCGCTCGATGCTAAAATTCAACAAACGCAGCAGAAAATACTAAAAATTCAACAGAACCAATCTTTGCAAAATTGCTCTAGCATCAATATACTCCGATCACTATCAAAAAGAAAGGAAGCAAGTTTTGAAGATATGAACAGTGACGACTCGTCTTCTGACAATGTTAATGGTCTTGCATCTGTCAAGAAGTACCAAGAAAGCTTTTACAACCTTGCTTCCTTTGTCTCAGGTGCCTTTACTATTTTTGAAGAAATGGAGTCGGATCTTCAAGTTGTCATCTCCGAAAAGGCGATTGTCGACACAACAGAATTAGATCGTTTGCTTACCTGGGGACAAAGTGTCCTGGCTCCTTCTCCCTTTTCTCCTGGCTCAAGTAGGCAGCAAGAATATGTTCTGACTGTATGGGGCGAAGAGAAAACTGTACAAGAAGGACTCAACTTGCTAAGAAATACTGCAGAGATTATAAAACAGAATCTGGACCTTGAAAAGAAACAAGATAACGACCAAAGCTTGAAGGACACGATGAAGTTAGCAAAGTCGTTGACTGTTTCTTACAACTTCGTAGAAAGACTTGCGCATACGATTGCCACTAAACAAAACCTTTTGAATCAGAGATTGGGCAACATGGAAAGGCGCTTGGAGGACTTGAAAAGTACTGCTCCACCAAAGTCCCGACATGGTAAAGGTACTGACTTGCTTCTGGCTGTGACCAAGATGTCACCTATGCCCAAGTCTCAAAGTCACAGAGGAAGTAGTCACAAGGCATTGAAGAAGTGGGTTCTGGAGCAGATCTCGGAAACTCAACGCACCATTCAACAAACCCAAAAAAGTTTGGATCATGAAAGAAAATATTTGCTTTTTAGTTGGCTCTCATCTTCCTCTAAGTGACAGATAAGCTTCTCTAAGTTTTTGCCAACCTCTATTCGATCTAAACTTTGTTCTCAATAAAAATAATCCTTCAAGGCAGTTACATTCGAGTTCCCTGAATCTAGTTGGTCCTCCACAAACACTTAATCCAATAGAAGCTAGCTAGCGTAGTTACACACAAACTGCAAATAAGATATTTACGGAGAGCTGAATTGCCCTTCTCCACAAGACTGACAGCATCACGATAAGGAACATTGGTAAATGAAACCAAGCGATACAAAGAAGGAAAGGTATTCGGAAACCACTCACTGAAAGTGATCTGAATCCTTTTCCTTAATAAAAACAAACGACTTGACGTCTTCTGTGCCATTTCCAAATAATTTTCCAGTGCCAGACGAGCTATAACGTCAGCGTTGGACTTCCTACTTTGCGAAAAATGTTGCAAGACATCAAACCACTTTCCACAGTGCAACTCTATCAATTCATCTAAAATACGGCAGTCTTCAAATGCCAAGTTACAACCTTGCCCATAGAAAGGTACTGCCAATGGTGAGACTATACATTAACTGTTTCGTTGACTTACCAATTGCATGTGCTGCGTCACCAATAAGTACAATATTGTTCTTAAAATGGTAAGGCTCACACTGAGTATATAACAGAAATGATAAGGGTGAATGGAAATATTGATTTAGCAAATCTGGTATGAGAGGTATGACGTCTTTAAAGTAAGTGCTGAACAGATTTAACAACTGCTCATTTGTTTCAATATTCTTGAAACTAAAAAATATCTCAGCAATCTGAATAAATAAATGGACAAATTGGTAGAATACCTTACTGCATATCCGTCTTCATCCATGAACAAAGTACAAGTAAACGAACCATCAGAATTTGGGAGAGCAATCAACATAAAGCGTCCTCGTGGCCATATGTGCAGACAGTTTGGATACATAGCATACGAACCAGACGCAGTTGGATTGATCGTTAACTCCTTGTAGCAAGTTGGCAAATATACCTGACTATAGTTGAACTTGGCCTTGGTGCAATTTTCCAAAATTTGTCGAACTCTTGAAAATACACCATCTGCTCCGACAATAACATCTGCCTTGACCATATTCACGTTGAAAGAGACATCACTAGTTCTTTGAATCTCGGATTCTATGAACTTGGAAGAAACATTGTCAAACTCCCAAGGGATATCTTGCTCAGTTGACTCAAAACTAGAGTTCAAAGCAAGAGACTCCGATTCTTCAAAATACAGAATATTATTCGCCAAGTCAATCGAGGAACAGGCCTTCTTGAAACACAAATTCACACCTGCGCGTTCACAAGCATTAAGCAAAATACAGTTTAATACGTGTCTGGATATCGAAGTCAGAAATTCTCCCTTCTTTGACAGACCATACGGCTGTATTTCAAATTGACCATTACTGTGGTGAATACCTCTTCCATACATAGGTACTCCCTGCGAAGAAACCTCTTCTGATAATCCTACTTTGTCCAACGCGGTTAATCCCCGGGTGGAAAGAGCAAGATTGATGGATCGTCCTGAATCACCTTCGTGCAAACGAGGATCTTCCCTCTTTTCATAGATCCTTATTTCATACGACGAACCTAGTCTCTTAGCTAAGAAAAGTCCTTCCAAAGAGCCTGCGAGACCACCACCAACAACAACAATACGTTTTGAGGAAGAGTGAAGCTCCTCAATCGAGGCCCTTGAGTCAGCAGAATTCATCAAGTAAGAAATGTGCTCATTTTGTGAAATTTCTTCATCACAAGGAACAATGGTTAACTAGTTTTTCTAATATTGTTTGTATGAAAAAGGAGAAACCCTAATAAAAAGTAGCTTATTCAGTTTATAGCAAGTAGTAACATGTCGACAACGGGTTGCATGATTCTGAAAGCTAAAACGGTAACATTATCTTACAGTTCGAAACTGCCTGTCTTTTTCTTCTCCTAATAATGGAAATACCATAGAGAGAGCCAGTAATATTTCCTATCTATATTTCGATTTTCAATTGTGGAGTTTTACAAAATAACTACAGGTATTGTATATACGACTAGTTTGACAATCTGTGTTTCAGAACAAGACACTAAAAAGTTCACTGTTTGAACTCTGTCTGATGTCGTGTGAGCAAGTATTAGAATAGTTGGATTCTCTTCACAATAAACTATTAGACTGGTTAATACGACAAATAGAAATCGAGACTAACAAACCGTCATTTGTGTAGATTGTCACTGGAAAATGCATCCAAATAGGAACAGCAGGATAGAGAGAAGAGGACAAAGTGGTTGAATGCAAGGCCACGAGGAGGCGTTACCTGTGAATGACTATAAAGCCGAGTCGTAGTTCCTAAAGATATAAAGTTGGAACTAAGCAGTTAAAGTCGCAGCAAACTGATAGAAAACTATGCTCGAAGGAGACTATAGTTTTGTGCAATTATCAAATTCTCAAATGAGATTTACATTGTTCAACCAAAACCAATCCCTTTTTGCGACACTTTTCGTTCCATTTCTTTAATGTACGGATAAAGACTTGAACAAAGGAAGGGAATACAAAGGCTATCATCATTCTTCCTTACCATACAATTAAAATCCCCTTACTTAATCATATAGCTCATCTCTTATGATGGTTCTTCACTCTCTCTTCTTGTCCTTGCCCAGATATGACTTGCGATAAAAGTCCATGAATAGTTTATAGAAAGATGCACCAACAACCTGTCCGAATAGCCAGCCGCGAAAAGAACCCGAGCAGCCACCTTTTGAGAAGTATAAGAAAGGAAAAGGCCAAGTTGCAGCAAGGTCAATAACGAATTGAACTATTTGTGCTTGAGTGATATACTTTTTCCACCAAACGGTTTTGCCAAAAGAAGATAATGCATAGTAATAATACATAAACACGTGCACGAGAGAATTGACGACCTAAAAATCGTAAAGGCAAGTCAAAAAACATAACGTTTGACCTACCACCAAAACCCAGTGGATGACCATAGCTGTCTGCATATAGACCCAAAACAGAGGCATCACAATACAGTGATGATATACGTGTAAGAAGTTTAACGGGCGCTTCTTCAACACCAGAATTACAGTATCAAATAACTCGTAGTATTTGCTGCAATAGAACAAATACATCCAAAAAAGCAATCTCCCACGCATGGCTTTGTGTTCCCGGTCACAAACGACAGAAAAGAAACCAAAATCCTACAGAATGTTCAGACAAAGGAATGTTCATATTATAAAGCCTACCTTTACTCGGAAAGCAAGTTCCGTAGTTGTTCCAACACACATAGCAAGCGATAGAAGACAAAGCACTACGTTATGAAAAGCAGCTACTCTCTTCAGTTTGAGTGGAGGTCTGTCCCTCATATAACGGTGTAATCCCCATATAACGAGGAGATATACACAGACTGCGACAAGAGGATATTGTATGCCAGCTAAAGGTGAATTTTTCCATTCAAAACTTCTCACGTAATTA